ACTGCATGTCTCTGGTAGATGATACTTAAGATGTGTTATCAGAATTTGTTGTTGGAGCTTATTACCTTTTATAGCTTTGTATATGAAAGGTAGAATGAACTTGGTTCGTGAACTTTTTCTGCATTCAGAAGTAGTAAGTTCCCTAGCATCTGCAAAGGTTAGCTAGTGATACTTTTGTTTTACTTATTTTTTATAGTGTCAGATGTACTTTACTTCCCTAATAGTACCATGTTTTAATGGTACATGCTTTTTATTTGGCATCAATTATGAGTTGGTTTTGAAACAGTTCAGTATTAAAACAGCTGGGATAATTACTGACCTCTGTTCCTCTAGGGCAACTGTCAAAATGGGACAGGTTTCAATTTACTCTAATGTGTGTTGCTGTTTCTAGTGACTCTGTCTTAATATTGTTTGCTGACTATTTTGACCTTGGAGACAGTTTAGTGCATTTTGGCCAAGGGGAAATATGGTGTAGTTGGGGCAGAATTGTGACAATTGAAACTGCTGTTTTTGTGCAACTTTAAGTACCCTTGTGTTGCTTTAGTGTTATTATGAACGAAGGGATTTGACACTTATTGTAATTAAACTCAGTTCTTTCTGGTGCTCAAATTGTCCAGTCTCTGGCTTATGTGGTTCCTTTAGGTTGAATCTAACATGGTTTTTTAGGTCTTCTTTTATTTCAGATATAAGAGGGTGTACTCCAAGCTTTTCTACTCACTGCCCTCAGCCTGGTTTCAGCCATTGCTTTAAGTAATCTAAATTTTAAATGTTACTCATGAGTCATAATCTGGGTTGCTCACTCATACTTGTTTCTCAATCTCCTCATTGGACATGCCTAAGATATACTTAAATACACCATAGATTGATATTTTCAATGAAATGTAAAGGGTTAAAATTCAGTCTATTTTTTCTTTCATTGAAAATCATAACTTTATAATACCACTGATTTCCTTTACTCTATCTGGTGCTTTTAGACTAGTATTACTAAATATTACCCAAAACTATGGTTAATGAAAAGTTGATGCATGTTTAAAAAATATTTATGTTCTTAAGAAAAGCTGTTAGAGGTATATAGTTAATTTAGTCTATTTTGAAGTCATTTGTAATTCCCCTCTGTGTATGCGTCCAATTTGTTCTGTTACTTTTGTTTCATTATGCTTTTGTGTGAGAGGGATTCCATATATTTTGTTAATTTTGCTTTTAATAATTAATTGAAGCATTACATGTCTGTTAAATTTCTAAAATGAGATTTGTTCCTCTGCCATTTCTTACCTCTATATAAAAATATACATGTAGTAACTATACTAGTTACACATGCAATGTGTGTATATGTATTTATACACACTCATTAACTAGAGTGTGGCACATTATACACTTGTTTTCCTCTTGCTCTTTTCAATTAATATTTCTTCATTTATATCACCCCAAGCATTTGTCATATAGCATATTCCTTTTTATAGGGCATAATAATTCTATTATATAGTTATACCCCTATGTTAAGTGGTTTTCTTTTGTGGACACTTGATTTTATTCCTTAATCCTGCCATTATGAGTAATATAGCAATGAAAGGCTTATAGCTATAAAAAGGCTTATGTATGTGACTTTTCATGGGGACCTTTGTGATTTATATTTGTGTATAAGTAGAATCCTAGAGGAAAAAGTAAATTTGTAGGCAATTTTCATGACTAAGGTTGAATTCCTCTCCATAAGCCACAGTTCCACTTTGTATTCCCATCAACAATATATGAGAATATTTGTTTTCCCACAGCTTATGAGTAGATAGTTATATAATTTAATAAAATTTTTTAAATAGATCTGTGTTTCAGAATCTTTGGCAAAACTGGTGGTGGGAAGCCCATGGGGATTACAACTGAGATAAAAAAAAAAAGTGAAGAATGATGTAAAATAAAAAAGAAAGAGAGGGAATCTTTGGTAAAAGTATTATATGGATTGCAAGGTGTTACTAGAGTCAGGGAGATGTGTTGGATCTCAATAGTAGTCTCAATATGCAGATACTTGCTAGGGATATAGTTATATCAAAGAAGTGTTAAGGAGAACTGAGTGGGTAAAAGAATTAGAGAAATTGGGATGATTAATAAGTTTCTTTAGAGGATACTGAAAATCAGTTAGATTACAGGATGGGAGCTCCATCTTGAATGTGAATTTGTGGTGCTTCTAAAACAAATATATGAACAAGAAGAGGAAAATGAGAGAGTTTTTATGTTGTTTTTGTATGTGGAAGTAAGATATATAGGTGAAGAATAGCAGTGACATGGGAGGCGCTGGCATGGTATTGACTTAAGCAGCACTAGTTTTATGTACCCTTTATGTTTTCTTGCATACAATTTAACATCTCTTTGGCTGGAATTAGAGAAGTGTACTTCATTTTTATGGATTATCTTTTATAGACTTATTGTATACATAAAGTATATACACATATACTCTGCTATATAATTTTGTTCTGAAATCATACAGATTTAGTTCTAGAGTATCGTAGCTTAAATTCTCTTGTTTTTATGTATGGATTGATTTATTATGTTTTCTCTCCAATAAACATGGTTTTATATACAATTTCAGCACTTTGTTTAAATTCTCTACTTTGTTTAATATATTTCCATACCTGGTATCGACTTTTTATAAACTTGGACAAATAAATAGAAAATATTTTACTATTTAAATGTAATTTTTTGCTATGTTAAAATACAATAATATGTCATGTCAGAATATAATTTCACATTATAGCTGAAAAGGTATCATATCTAAAAGAATGGTTTTTTGACCATTTAAGGCCATAAGAAGGGCCTTAAAAAATTGAGACAATTTAGATTAGAAAATTTACAATTTTAGACTATTTCTGTAGCAGTAACAACATATTAACTAACATTTATCACATCATATGTTGTTTGAACACTTTGCAAGTCTTCTTATTTTAATTATGAAAACAACCATATAAGGTACAATTAGTAACCATTAGGTACATTTTACACAGGAGACAGAAGGTTAGTGAGCTCCTTAAGGATATACAGTATCAAGAAGCTAAAAGAAAATTAAATCCAGGCTTACTGAAAATAGAACTCAAGTGAAGACATGAGGATAATAAAGGATTTAAAATCTTGTCATATAAATTGAAGGAAATGTATTTTAAAAAATTTTTAAAGAAACTGTTGAGGACAGTGGGAACGTTTAAACTACCAAGTATTGGGTCTTTCTAGAGTGTGTATTTCTTCACAGGACTTTAGATATAGAATGAGTTCCAAAGCTTAATTTTTGAACCAGTATCATGTAATTTTTCTATGTTAAAGTTATGTGATGACTGAAGTCTTTTCTTAGGGTTAAACTGCCTTCTCTTCACTTACTAGCCAAACAGACTTTGAATGGTAATTTGAAAGACTTAACAGTAGAAGGGATTTGTGGCACTGAAAGGGTACATCTTTGACAATCCTTAGATTATTTTTTCCAACTAACATTTGAAGAGACTTGATTAAATTAGTGGTTGACCAAAGATCCCACCCAGGATATTAATATTCTAAATAAATTAGCTACACTGAGAATACTAGGCTTTTCCATAGTTGTTGTTTAAGAAAAAACTAAAGCTAACTGCTAGAGTAGCTTTTAGTTATTAGACCCATGTAGATTTTGCACAAACAACGAATTTGGTTAATGATTAATGTGTTCTTCCTTTAGCTTCTACTTTGCTAATATAGATGTACTAGGCTGTGATACTTAATTATTCTTGTGTTACTCTGATAACTGTAAACTGTGAACTTTGAATATAATTTAGAGTCACTGAGAAGGAGCTCTAAACAGAGATTGCTATTGTATGTCTTATTCCTAGAGTTTCTGACTCAGTAGATTGGAAGTGGAGCCCAAGAGTTTGCTTTTTTAACATATTTCCAGATAATGCTGATGCTTCTAGTTTGGGGCCCACACTTGAAAACCACTGCTATTGTAGTTTGACCTACCCCAATAGATTCAGCTTTCTAAATGTGGTAGCCAGATAGTAAAGAACTCATTTTCTTATTCCCTACTACCATACAAAATTTTAGACAACTGATCTTGATTTTATAGAAACCACTGTGGACTACTACATTGCTGTTATCAGTCTATTGGCCCCAAGGAGCTATACCTAAAAATTAAGGAATCTTCCTGTTCAGGCTTAGGTTTATCCAAGCTTACTTTAGAAATACAAATAAAGACTCAGTAGAACTCTTTCACATGGCTCCACTTTCAGATATTTATTTATTCATTCATTTATTCATTGCCATTGCTAGGGGGTTGTTACATATAAGAACCAGAATCTTCTCTCTTCCTGAAATAAAGTAGGCTTTTGAAGGACACCAAGTTTATTAGAAAATAAGAATATTGTGCATAAAGCAAGTGGCAGAACTTGATGAATTGGTTTCAAAATTCAGAACGGTCAATATCTAGTCCTAGTAGTCATTCTTAAATGGGTTAATAAAATGGGGAGCAAGAACTTTTTAAACTACTCTAAGCCAGAATGACTTACTGAGTTAAAAATTGTTCACTCTGGCAGTTAAAGGTCATGAATGTATGTCATTTACTTTAAGTGTCATTGAGAATTACATAATTTCTCATTCAGCATATCCAAATGACACCAGTAATACTTACCCAGGTGGATATTACACATAGCATGTTCTAGAGTTAAAGTAGTAGCTTGCTCAAAGTAGATGAGATATAGTGATTTTTTTTAGTTTGGGGTGAATACTTGCGAGATAATGTCCTCTGTGAGCCATGAAGAGAGCCACATCTCAAAGGCCTAGAAGGAGTAGGGAGAAAGTTCTTGCTCACATTATAGAAAGCAATATGTAGGTATCAAAATTCAGGGGAGAGGTTAGAATGATGTGTTCCTACTATTTATTAAAAACTGTAATTTGTTGTACTTTCCTCCTACATGATTAACTTTGAAAATTAACTTTTAATGTACATTAACAGTAATCATAAACAATGTCCTGTGATTATTCTCTTTGTCTTCCCTTAGATATCCAGAAAGTGGTACTGTAGAAATCAATGTCAAGGATCTTCGACCACGAGCTAGAACCAATTTGAAATGGAGTGAATTAAATATCGGCGATGTGGTAATGGTTAATTACAATGTAGAAAGTCCTAAAGATAGAGGATTCTGGTTTGATGCAGAAATTACCTCATTGAAGACAATCTCAAGGACTAAAAAAGAACTTCATGTGAATATTTTCTTGGGGTAAGAGTCTCTTCACTGATACCACTTATTTCTGAATTAAGGATTGTAATTTTGAGGTGTTCAGCACATGATTATGAGAAAAAAAGGATGGAATCTGTCAAAGATGGGCATTTTCACACTGAAGTAGAACCTTTTTTTTTTTTTTTAAGATTTATTTATTTATTCATACAGAACTGGGGTACAGGCCAGAGACGCGGAGGGTGAGAGGATTCACCAGAGACAGAGCAGGAAGCAGAACAGGCAGATCGATGAAGTACACTGCTGAGGGGAGCAGCGGGCGGGTCAGGAGAGGTCTGCCATGCCATGTGGTCACCTCCAGGGCAGGCGGGGATCGAACTCATATAGAAGTGGCTTTAGTTTCTCAGTGCAGTGCCTTAACCCGCTGCGCCACCAGGGAGGGCCCTGAAGTAGAACTTTTTAATACATTCTTGGGAATTTTTTTATCATGAGTAGTCCTTAAATCTCCATTGCTACTTTAAGGTTGATAATACTGTTTGGAAGCATCTTTGAAATAATATTGCTTATCTAGCAGTGAATGTCTCATCAAATGAACTGTCTGCTAAGCTTACATGACTAGCTGAAATTTGTCTTCATAATTTTTTCTTTAACTTTAACTTACAGAACACAGTCAACTTAATGAAGACATTCAGAAAATGTGAAATATTTGCCCAATACCAAGTCACTCAGCTATTTTTATCATTAGTTGTTTAAGTAATTCTTTCAGATGTTTCTCTCCAGTGTTATAGATAGTACTAAGAATTATTTCACAGCTATCTTTTTTATATGTAGACAAATATTAATGCCATAGTTCTGGATCTGGGTCTTTTGAATAAAATTTATTGGACAAATAGTCACTAAACTACCTTTTTTACAAAAGCCTGTTGACTTGTTTCTAGTCTTTGTTATAAATAATGTCCATATGCATTTTCTTTGGAATGAATTCTTAGAAGGACATTTGTTCTATTGAGTGTTAACAGATTCTAGAATGAGCCTGACATTTTAATTTTACATCAGGAAAGCCATCAAGCCAATATTATTGTCAAGATCTGAATAATTGGGTTATTGCATAGAATGCATATAGTAATCTAATACATATGTATATAATGGGATATAGTATATCTGTTATAACAGTGATAAATCTAAGGTCAAGCATCTGCTTATAGTTAACAATATAAAGCAGGGTTCAGTAAACTACAGACTATTGGCTGCCTGTTTTTATGGAAAGAAAGGTCTATTGGTGCAATGTCCATGGATGTATTATCTACAACTGTTTTTGTATTTAACAGCATTGTTGAATGGTTGTAGTTGAAACTATCTGGCTTGCCAAGCTTAATCTGTTTATTCTTAGACCCTTCCTGGGAAAAAGTGTACTGATTCCTAAGAAAAAGAATTCTGTAAGGTGCCAAAAATGGCTTATAATTTAGAAAATGGTTTCTGAACTTGCTGCCAACAGAAGTGTGATACTTTTGTCAGATATAAGTGAATTTCAGACTTCTGAGCTACTTGAAATTTTGATAAAGAAATAAATTATGAAGAAGAAAAGGAGAAGGCACTTATATAAATTGGTAATCTAGGGAACCTATATATTAGATACATGAGTAGAGGACATAAGAAATACCAGGACTCAGATCATTGCCCTCACCACACATACACACACACACAATATTTTAAAAATGTTCAAAGGTACAGTTAGATTAGACTATCTGACTTTTAGGACTAGAACTAAGAGTGAGTGGAAATTACAGATAGGCAAATATTGACTCATCGAATGATAGTGTAATAGCTACTCCAACTGTAAAATACACTGTCTTATAAAGTATTATGTTCTCTGTTATTTAAGTTTTTGTTAAACATGCTAGGAACACAAGAACCAAAAATGAGCCAGTGTTACTGATAAGTGGGAATTTTTTTCAAGATTAGAATTCTTTATCCCTGACTAGAAGAGTAGAAAAATGATCAGAGAAAGCATAACTGTATTCTGCTATTTAGGGATAATTTGGGGCTATTATAAACATTGTTGCCATGATATTCTTGTTCTGTGCCCCAGTGCTTATTAGTTTCTACAGGGCACATATTATCTAGGGGTAGAATTGCTGGGTTGGAAAACCTATGTATCTTCAATGTTAGTAGCTAGCACAAATATTTAAGTGATTCAGACAAATTACACTTACACTGCAGTATTAGGAGTTTTCATTGCTTTGAATTCTCATCCATGATTAATTTTGTTAGCTCGAGCCTTTGAAAATCACGTAAGTATGAAATAAAATAAAAATAAAAGGCCTTTGTGGTTTTGATTCGCATCTTCCTGACAACTAATGAGATTGACAGCTTTTTTCTTAGTTTATTGGCAATTTGGGTAATTTTTTGAGGGCCTTGCTCCAAATATTGGTGTTTTATTATTGTTAGTTGGGTAGTCTGTCTTACTGATTTTTAGTTCTAATTGTAGAGATGTGACCGATGTATTTACATGTAGAGAAAAATGCCTTCTTTTCCAGTTCTATGAATTTTCTCTGTATGTTTGAATAATATTTTTAATTTTAAGTGGTTGAATTTATCATATTTTCTCCCTTAGGTTTATACTTTCTTTCTTGTTTAAGAAATCGTGTGTGTGTGTGTGTGTGTGTGTGTGTGTGTGTGTGTGTGTGTGTAATGAAGTTGGTCGAAAATTCAGTTATAAAATATGTAAGTTCTGGGGGTATAACATATAGCATGGTGACCATAGTTAGTAATACTGTATTATAGATTGAAAATTCTTGGAGAGAGAATCTTAAAAGATCCCAAGAGAGAAAAATGTAACACTGAGGTGATAGATATTAGCTGAATTAATTGTGGCATTCATTTGTCTCTATTCATCTGTCATTATGTTGTAGACCTTAAACTTGTACAGTTGTTATATAGCAATTATATATCAGAATATGGAGGTTGCTGGGAAGATTTCCCTACTCAGAAAATAGTCTTTATTGCTTATAAAAAAAATTTGTGGTTTTGCTTTTCTTTAGATCTTTAATAATAAACTTGGTAATTTTTTGCGTACAATGTAATCTGAGGGTTTGATTTGTATATAGTGTGAGGTAAGGGCTTGATACATATGAATATTTTTGTAAAAACCTTATTAAGATGCCCATTTTTCTTTTCATGGTCTTCAATATCACCGCATGTCAAATATCTTTATATTTGATTTCTATTCTGTAGCATTGGTCTGCTTTGTGTATTCTTATAAGTTATATGCTTTCATGAAAGCAGATTTCTTCTTGTTCTTCTCAGTTCATAGCGCTGTGTACTTTCATTTGAATTTTCCAGTCATCCGTGATTGCCAAATTATAAAAAAAATAGAATTTGATAGGTAAAAAAATAGAATTTGATAGGTATTGCATTGACTCTAACCCATGAATGTGATTCACTTTGCTTATTTTGGTCTTTAACATGTTCTTCTTCTTTTTTTTTCCCCCCAAATTTTTCTTAACTTCAATGATACAAAATGTTCTTGTAAGTTCAAAATACTTGAACTTTGTTGGTTATATCATTTAACCTGATATAATTCTCTTGAGAGAGCTGACCTTATGTGTCTATTATCTTTATTTAATCTTAGGCAACACTTGTTATTGTATATGTTGTTTTTAACTTCATTTTACTCTTTGTTATTGGTATACAAATAACCTTAGATCTTGGATCCAATAGGCTTGCTAGATGTACTAATTTTAATTCGCATCAGGTGGTCTCGAATTTTTATGATTATGATCATCTGTGAATTAGGACATTTTCTGTTTTTTTCCTTTGATTTCTTTCTCTTTATTCACCAGCTGAATTTCAGTACATTGTTGAAAGGAAGTGATAATAGAAGGCATCTCTTTCCCTTTGATCTGTAAGAAAATGCTTTCAAAATTTCACTAATAATGATAATGTTTGATACAAGTATTTCTCAGATGTGCTTTACTGGCTTTGGTTGTCTAGATAGCATGGGATTTTTGCATTTGTGTTAATGAATAAAATTTGCATATTAATTTACTGCCAACCTACCATTCAAAAATTATGCTGATCTTATAAAATAATTAAGTGGGATATTCTCTTTCTGTCTTATGTGGGAGTTTGTGCCCTTGTCTTGACTATTCAGAAGAACCTTCCAGTAAAATCCTCTAGGACTGACTTTTCTTCATGGGAAGAATTTTTTTTAAAGAGTGATTCAATTTCTGTAATGATCATATGACAATTGAGACTTTCTGTTTCTTCTTGAAATAGGATTACTTTCATAGGCACTTGTGGATTTTACCTAAATTTTTATTTAGTGTCATATGTTAGTTGGGTAGCATCATTTCTTAATTTGTATAGTCTTTCTTATGATGCCCCTTTTTTAGTCCTGAATTTAGTTTGTGATTTTTTTAATCACTCTCACCGGAGGTTTATCAGTTTTGTTAGACTTTTGCAAAGTACTAATCTTCAGCTTTGACCCTCTCTATTGTATTGAAGGTGCAAAGGAAGAAGCAAATAGAGGACATGATTTTTTATCTGCCTTGGAGATTTGATAAGGGAACTTGGAGTTAAAGTTCATGCTTGTTTCTGTTTTTAATTTGTGAGTACCAAAAAGTAAATATGCTTGAACTGTCTGTAATTCTAGTTATCAAATTCTATTTTATAACTTGTCATAGTCTATTTGTACAATAGCTTTCAAGAAAATTCAAAACAAAAGTTTTAGGTTTAAATCAACTCTTCAAAATAATTTGTTTACTTGCTATTATAATGTATATGATAGTTAATATAACCTGAAGTCATACTAGTTTAGATATTCATGTAAAATAGAATTTGAAATAATCCTATGACAAGAAGAAAATTTAAACTTACTAAAGCAATGGATATTCTTAGTTTCAGGGTCACTTTTGTTAGATTTTATTTACTTACTAAATTTTATCTGTACTTGTTTATCATGAAATATCTTTAGTAATATTGAATGCAACTTTCTTACAGAGTATAATTTGGAATCCATCATGTCAAAACTCACTGTATTC